ATTTCAAATAAATGCTGTTCTTTTCAATTAATCAAAGATTCCTGAAAGAAATTTATCTTATATACTGTTTTCAAACCTTGATAACAATAGGAAATGTTACTTGAGTGCCAAATCAGCATATTTGAATTATTTCTGAAGGATCACGTGACACTGATGACTGAAGTAATGATGCTGAAAATTCCACTATAAAGAACCTGTGCAATGGTTCCATCAATGTTAAAGGTCCTTAATGGAGCCATAGATGCCAGTAAAGAACATGTTGTTTTTAAGAGTGTATATATATTTGTATGTACAATGCAAGTCCATGGATTACAGGATCAGATCCATACCTTGCGTAGTAGTTTTACACATGGTGGCCATCCTAGACCTTGACTCAGTCCATTCAGAAACCACAGGCCTGAGAACACTGCCACCGACGAGGACTGTGAGAAAACCACATTGATGCCACCAACCATAAACAGCCCAACAGAGAAAAGCCTTTGTGCGCTCATCTGATCGGACAGCACACTGCTTATGAACTTGCTAATGGCATAGGCCAGTGACTGACTGCTAGTGATAAGACCTGCAGTGCACAAAGATGAAATAAACATTGATTAGACTTCAGCAGAGTGATTCCCATTCAGAACCACTCAAAAACATATAGGTTTGCAAAGATAGGACAAAGGAGCATTTCTTTAGGTGTTATCACTCTGCATTGGCTCAAGGACTGTAAAGACTTCAGTGATAAGATGAACTCAATCACTGTGCTGATGAAGTAGATCCGGAGCAACATACCAAACTCCTGCTACATCTCAAATATCTGTATGTGCTGCCTTTTCAATCTCATGACGTTCAACATTTTGTCAGGAAAAAGATGTTGTGTTGTTAAGTAAACACGGAAAAAGTGTTGTTCAGTAAACAAGACTGGTTTAGCCCAAACAGCACAGAATTTTATTAACTCATATGTATTAAATTAATGATAGTTGAATATGGTATAACAGGGTGGAAGAAAGGCCTAAATTATGTGTAAATGTAGCTACGTTTTAAGCTGTATATATTTTATATTTTATGCATAGTAATGAGTAACATTTTTTAAAAAGGTAAACTAAACATGCGTATTCAACACACTAAACTATTCCAGCCTCTACAGTCTCACAGGGTGGAACATGATGCAAGTGGAAATATAAAACATCAATTAGTTAGTAATTAGTAATTAATTAGTAGATCCATAATGTTATGATATTATATATTTTTTAATGAAATTTGTGTTAGGTAATATTACATAACAGGATGGAAAGTGTATAAGAATATGGTAATAAAGCATCAAAAAGTTCAAAGTAAAAAACCTTATTAAGTCATGAGCTGTTTTTATAGTTGAATTTTTCAAATTAGTAGAACACAGTAGACAACAGTAAAAAAAACATATCGTTCAAGTTGAGGTTGGTAAGATACATTTTTGCAGGATTATTTGAAGAATGGTACGTTTTAAAACAAACAGCATTCATTTGAAATTGAAATGTTTTGTAACAATATAAATGAACGGTAGTGTTTAATACTGTTGAGAAAAATGAACAATTAAAAAAAGGAATTTAACAGATTTACCAACATTAACAAAATTAAACATATTTTTGTACAATTTATAACATCTTTATAATATCATTTTATAATATTTATGTAATATTTATGTGTTCATTTGATCTGTTTATGACAAAAGTTTCACAAGAAAAAAAGAAAATCCAGCTCAAATATGTCTTGTCTAATAGGAAAGTGATTACAGTGGCTTAAAAACAGTGTTCAATTATGCATTATCATTGACTACTGGTGTATATTCAGATATTTGCATTATTTTCTGTTAAAGTTAAATCTAAAATATAATTATATATATATATATAATTCAAAAGTGATTTAGGACAGAAAAGGCACTGCATTACGCAATGTTCAACTGCCTTAGTGCCTCCTCTGTCTGTCTGTCTGTCTGTACATCTTCATTTACTGTAATTCAAATTAATGCTTGTGTGAAAGGTTATAAAACACGAGTGGCCACATGACAGAGAGGAAAGACAAAGTACAGGCTCCTCGTTGCACATGCTCACCTAGATCATCCTTATCCAGCGTGATCTCCTGCATTACAGAGGGCATCACAAAAGAAAACGTCTTCCTGTTAAAGTAATACAGCGTGTAGCCCACAAACATGGCCAGGAATATAGTAGCTCGGTAGTAGCCATATCCACTCTTCACCATGGCTGGCACAACTTTAAAACGATAAGGAAGGAAACGTAAAGGTCTTCTTCAGCTCGACACAGGAGTTACCAGGAGCATCCGTGGGCTATGAAGTCAAATGTGTGGATCTGTGAAACATGAAGAGCTGGTGAGGTCAGGGGAAAGAGCTGTAATCAACGGCAGGGTTAATGGCCAACCTGGCAGAGATCTTTGGAGTGTTCTCTCAAGGGACGGACTGTAACATACTTTACTGCACTGAAACAGGGAGCAGTGTGTGCCACTGACATTTCGATTGCAGCTGATCTACCATAGCCAATGTTTTTCTTTTTTTCTATTATTTGACTTTGTTGTTGTCTTAAACGTGTTGTGAAGAGGGTGTTATTGAAGATCCCCTAATCTGAGGAGTTCAATGATTAACATGGGGTCTGTATGTGACATATTATAGGTTTGACCATTGGTGGTGTGTGTTGTGTAAGAATCATTGCACTATGATTATGATCTCCCTTTGGGGGCTGAGCACCAAATATGCGCCACCAACATCTCAAAGTTGCATTTATACTGTATGTCTGATTATAACTTCTGAACTGTGCAGTCTAGAAATATATTTCCCTGATTTGTTGCTTCATTCTGAATCAAATGTATTCCTTGCTTTCAGTCTGACTAGATTATCCACCCTTTTAAACATTATGAAAAACACTCCTTTTCTAACTACAAACGTTCATCAGATCTTCTCCAAAAAAAAATTTCAGACAACTATAGGTGCCATCACATTCAACATTTTGATGAAATTTTGTGGGCAAAATGGTCTATGTTCTATTTTACCAGTGTAGTGATGTAGCAGTGTTATTTTAGTATCATTATACAAGTTAAAATGTATGAGTTCTTTATAACTTTTTACAAGTCAAAATATTGTGAGTATGGAAATTCCAAAATGATGTGAACACACCAATATTGCCTGTCTGCCATTTGAGTTTTGTCATAAAATGCTGCATTTTAGCGCATTAACACAAAACCTAGCATGGGTCATTTGCTATTGATTAGCATAATGTGTTGAGGCTATCTGAGAAGTTTGGGGACCAATAAAAATAAAAAGACCTTATGTAGCTCCGCCCCTTTTCAGCACTGCTAGTTGTCTTCTGTCTTCCGCTTGTATTTCCACAGCTTAAAGGTAAGATCGTACGAATTTATGAATGAAATGTGTGTTTTAAAATCTTCCCAGTTTACTGACATTTATGACATCCGCTTTGAACATCATGCACATGATAGCTGTACAATAAGTAAATCCACTTCACCAGCTATTACTCTTCAACACTGATGCTATAGAACAGGGTTCCTCAAATCAATGCGCTGCAGAGTTTAGCTCCAACCCTGATCGAACTATTTTTCTAATGATCGTAAAGGCATTGATTAGCATGCTCAGGTGTGTTTGATTAGGGTTAGAGCTAAACTTTGCAGGAAAGTGGCTCTCGTGGGCCAGATTTGAGGAACCCTGCTATAGAGCTACCGCAAAAACGGAAGTTCAAAGACCTACCTATCTTTCTTTACTTTGTGGCAACTGTAGCCAGTACTATTGGCAAGTCTGAACCTATCTGTCTGTCTGTCTATCTATCTATTTGTCTAACTGTCTGTCTGTCTGTCTTTCTGTTTATCTATATCGTTCTGTTTGTCTGTGTATATTGTTTTATCTGTCTATCATTCTGTCAGTCAGTCTATATACCTATCTTCCGTTACTTTGTGGCAACTGTAGCCAGTACTATTGGTAAGTCTGAACCTATCTATCTATCTATCGTTCTATCGTTCTATCTATCGTTCTTGACTTCACCGTTTCCTTCTACGAGCTCGCTGAAGAGAAACGTTGAGAGCGGGCTACCTTCATCGAAGAAGGCGCGAGCGGAGAAGAGCGAGATTCCTGCTTTCAAGTGAAAGCAGCCTGTCTTAGTGAGCACAGCCTCAGCGACGCACACACAAATGCAATGCTGTCAGCGATATGAAATCATTGGTGACAGCATTCTACTCCGATCCGCCCAGAAGGATGGAGCCGCTCGGTGTAACGAGGGGCGCTGATCCTTACGTGTAAACACACCGGCGGATCAAAGTGCTGCAGGGAGAGTGAGCACGTGGGCTCTTAGCCAGCATGGGATCACTCAAACCCGGTTGCTAAGCCCCGTGACACCACTGTTTCTTTCTCCGAGCTCGCTTCATTGGAGATCACTCAAACCCGGTTGCTCAGCTCCTTGACTTCACCGTTTCCTTCTACGAGCTCGCTGAAGAGAAACGTTGAGAGCGGGCTACCTTCATCGAAGAAGGCGCGAGCGGAGAAGAGCGAGATTCCTGCTTTCAAGTGAAAGCAGCCTGTCTTAGTGAGCACAGCCTCAGCGACGCACACACAAATGCAATGCTGTCAGCGATATGAAATCATTGGTGACAGCATTCTTCTCCAATCTGCCCAGAAGGATGGAGCTGCTCAATGTAACGAGGGCCGTTAATCCTTACGTGTAAACACACCGGCGGATCAAAGTGCTGCAGGGAGAGTGAGCATGCGGGCTCTTAGCCGGCATGGGATCACTCAAACCCGGTTGCTAAGCCCCGTGACACCACTGTTTCTTTCTCCGAACTCGCTGAGAGAAGAGAAATGGGAGAGCGGGGCTGCCTTCATTGAAGAAGGTGGTCTGCGAACGGAGAAGAGCGAGACTCATGCTCTGAGTGAGAGCATTCCGTCTCAGTGAGCGCGCAGCTTTGCGTGGGTGTAACCTGTTGGGAAGAGTGAAATATTAATTGCATTTTTTTTTGTATGATGAACTTCCCAAAACTATTTTTCTATGGAGTTGAAGTCATTTAATTTCACTAAATATTAAATTCCTACATGGGTCATGCAATGTTAATGTGAGTAGGAACTATTAATTACGGTGTTTGTTCGAATGGAACACTTATCTGTGTTGCGTGCTATGCTTTTAGGGAGTGCGTGAGTTACGTCAGCCTCAGACAGCGAATGGACGCTGGCGAGGCAAGACGCACATTTTCCCTTCTCTTCTTCCAGTCATTATTGGTATGGTTAAAAGTATTAATTTGGTCAAAATTCATTAAATATGAAACGGAATGTGTTCTGAGGCAAGTATACAAATGTATTTTTGTGTATTGGTTACTTTATGTGAGTTTTATGCGACTTTTGTCTGACGCACGTGGAGCTAACAAACTCATGGTTTGTGCACAGTGTTTAACGGAAGAAGTTAGCGCGACGGATGTTTCTCTTATCAAGTGTCCCATGTGTTTCAGGTATGTTCAGTTCTTTAACTCAAATTGTATAAAATTATAGAATTTGTGTAATTAGGTTCATAATGTTGTGGACTAATTTTGAATATATTTTTTGTTAATTATCAATACTATTTCTCTTCCCCTTTATTCTGTAATGCATTTAATTGCTTAGCATTTGGATTATGCACTGATTTCACATTTCTATAGTGTTGTTGTGAATGTGTATGATGTTTTGGGAGAATATTTGTATGTTTGTTCATGTGAACATTAATTTTATACATCATTCATTGTTAATAATACATATGGAGACAACAGTTGACACAGAGCGATATATAAACAGTAATTTTATTTTAATTTCCTTATTTCTTG